AATGTATGTACAGATTTTAATTTAAACAAATGTTATACCCAGTTTTTTTTTAAATATTTATCCAACATTTGTGTCCAGTTTAAAAAGCACGCGAATTGTATGCTCAGTTTATTTCAATCACCAAACATTTTTGCCCACTTTTTAATGACTAAAAATGTATGGGCAGTTTTAAGTGGCCAAAAACTTACCCACCCATTTGATATTATCAAAGTGTATTCCAAGTTTTGAACGACCAAAAATGCGTGGCTAGTTTTAACTGACCAAAAACTTAACAACAACAACAGTTTTAAAATTAAAAATAAGTACGGTCAGATTTCAAGTCAAACTATGACTTGTTTTTGAACTACCAAAAATTTATGTGAGTATACTTTTTTAACTACTAACACCCAAATTCATAAAAAATAAAGAAGCCTTTAACTGCTTTATAAATTTAAAATTTCTATGAAGCTGTTACTTTATAGAGCTTTTTTTATGAATAAGGCCATAAAAATTTATGGTAAGATTTTAAGTCATCAAAAATTATGTCTAGTTCAATAAATTTCAGTCCGCATTTTAATGACTAAAAATTTATGGCCAATTTTAAGTGACCAAAAATTGAGTCAAAGTTTTGAAATTACTAAAAATATATGACCACATTTTTTTTTTTTTAAATTTTAGCAACGATTTATATTTAATTATTAAAACTGTATGGCCAGATTTATAGTCATCAAAAACGATGCCTGATTTTTGAAATTCTAGAAATGTATGGCCAGATTTTTATTGACTAAAAATTTATGGCCAGTTTTAAGTGACAACATATTTAGATATGTCTACTTTTTAAAATACAAAAAATCAAAAATGTATGGCCAGTTTTAAGTGACCAAAAATTTAACTAAAGTTTTTATATTAAAAATACGTATGGCCAAATTTTAAATCATGCAAAATATGTGATTAGTTTTTGAACTACCAGAAATATACTTGTACTTTTTTAATAACTAAAAATGTATGGTCAGATTTAAAGTCATTAAAAAGTTTTTCAATTTCTAAAAATATATGCCAAAAATTTTTAATGACTAAAAATAAATGCGCAAAGTATTTATGGCTGGGTTTAAATTATTAAAAATCTAGCAATTCTCTTGTGTTCGGCAGAACGTCTCCTCTCATCAGCGAATGAAACAAAAGGCCCAGGTCTACGAAGTTTGCATCTTTAGAAACCTGTAGCCTTTTGGAGGGTACAGTGACGCCCAAATTCATTTGATAACGTTATAGGAGAGAGTAAACAGTGGTAATGCTCAGTGCGGCTTGCCCCATTGCACATTGGACTGGACACCCGATTATAGGCAGAACGGGTGCAATTCGAAATAAGACACTGCAAGAGTCATTCAATCCAAAGCGCCCTTGTCTACAGCATTGCAGCCCATGCTGGTGGGTATGAGGAGAGCTTGTGTACCAGAGCTTTTTCAAACAAAGACTCTATGAACTGCATAAGTTACCTGGGACGAACGAACTATTTGACGAAAACTCTACTAGAAACAGAACATGTCTTTAGTGAATGCTCACTTTACCAGACTTCATTTGGACCAGCCTTTTATAGTTGAGCTTTCAAAGTTTGGTGACTGCGAGGCCGATCTTTCAAGGACAATAACAATTGGAAACACTTTTTCATTGACTTATGACACTTTTTTTCTGGATTCCTGAGGTTGTTATTCGCAAAGATCTGAAAAAGTAGTTGGAAATGATATTTTTCTATTTAACTTTCGCAATAGTTTATCAATTCCATGCCTTGTGGCATAAAAATACTCAGAAGTTGATCAGTGGTTCGAATTAGGTAATTGAAATATGTATCAGTAATTTAAAAATATTTTGAAGAGGCTGCTGCCTGTTTTAAAAGTCGAATTTAATTTAATTATTCCCAGGTTATACGAAATTTTAAAAATGGGTTTCAATCGAGAGTTCTAAGAAATCTTTAGTTCGAAGATTTAGATTATTTTCGACGTATTTGTAGAGGATTGCCAGCGGTTTTCTTAAAGAAGAAGCTTAATTCAAATTATTTACTAAGTTAAATGAATTACTAAAAAATTAGTGTCCATGGAAATGGATTTAAAAATGTTTTATTTCTGAACTAAATTTAGAAGGGTTGCCACGAGTTCAAAAAATTTAATTCAACTTAATTCCTCAGTTAATTGTCACATGAATCACAATGACAGATGAAATAGATTAAAAAAGATTTTATTGAAAATGGTTTCGCAGAGGGCTGCTATCTCTGCCTGTTTGAGAAAACGAATTTCGTTAACTTATACACAAGTTAAATGAAATATTAAAATATGAGTGTCAAACGAAAGAGCTCTAAAAAACGTTAGGCCAAAAATATTTTTTATT